CTTTTGGTTCCAACTGTCATTTTTTCTTTTGCACCTCTATAAATTTTAATACAAAACAATTTTACCTACTTTACATTTATGCTTTGTGACATCATAAAATCACTAAGATAAACTTTAAATGGAAATTAATAAAATTTTGACATTAGAAACACACACACAGCCCAATTAAGTCAAAATCTGCCGATGGTCGAGGATATCAGTATTTCCTAAAAGCTCCTCAGAACTAGTGATTCCGGCTTCTGCTGATGGAATCATCCCCACCCTACCCCCCAAAACCCTGTTTTCTAACTGTTGAGAATCACTGCTGGAGATATCTGAGCAACACTGTTACTACCAACCATGTCTTTATCTTCCCCTAAGGAAAAGGTATTTCAAATAAAACCCAACCCCAAATCATCTTAACTTCAGTTTCATAATCATAAACTGTAATCAAGTTTCAAGCCCCCCAACAATCCCACCAGTATTCAGTTATCTAATAAGCTACTCTAAAATTATAGTAACAATCATAATCTTTCAGGCCAGGTCATAAATCTTTGAATTTACAGGTTTATTTTCCAGGCTCTCAGTAAACCCTCACTACTCCCCAGAAAGGGGTAATATGGTTCTTGATTTCTCTGGGTGTTTACTTCTGGGGAGAACAAAACCAAACCAGAAATGATAACCAAATCATCAAATCAGCTCAGCAAACCTGTGCAGGCTGTCTAGCAGCTTGAGCGTGTGCACTCACCGTCACCCAAGGGAGGTATGTGCGTTCCAGGTGAGGGACTGCCACCAACTCAGTGCTTCCACTTAATTTAATCAGCAGTCTTTTTATGTACAGTCTACGTAAAAAGATGTAAGTTACATAACGGAATGCAAGTACACCTAAGTTTTCTGCTCTTGAAAAATGTCATTAACAAATCTACCAAGAAATATTTTCAGTATAGAAAAGAGTCCAGAAACACCTCATCTATTTAAACTTTATAGAAGCACTTAGGGGAAAATAAGATGGGTCACAGACCTAAGACTAGCAAAGATAAGTATTTTGGGTTTAAAAAATAGGGAGGTCCTCTTGTCAAACAATTTTCAGTGGTCTTTCATTTCATTGTTGTTTGTACATCCAGACAGTTGGTTAAAGGTAAGATTTAGGCAACTGGAGATTTTTAAAAAATACAGTTACGATTTGTAACTGAAAAGGGAACTCTGAAGACAGAGGTCCACTGACCATGAAATGGTCAAACCAGCCTATGCTCATGGTGGGTTCCGTATGCTGTCTAAATTAGGGCGCCTTTAGTTCTACCTGTTCTGTGTATCCTTTTTTTCTCCGCCAGTTAAGTTTCCCTCAAACAGCAAATAGCTATAGTAGTCACAGACCTACCTCACACGAGACCAGGAACCCCTTTGGGAGAGCATCTCCTCTCCCCTTCCTCAATGAATCCCACGCTTCATGAACCCAAACACTTCGGGACCAACCTAGCTTTACCTGTTCATCCCAGAACCAAATCGCCTTGTTTAGGGAGTTGGTTCCCAACCCAGATAACCTGACACCCTTTCATTCTGCTGAAATAAAATCCCTAGACAGGTGTAATGCCAACCTACTTACACACACACACACACACACACACACACACACACACAATTTGAGAAAACAAAAACAGAAACAATATAAAGGAGAAATAAAGCTTATTAATAAAATGCGTATAATGCTGCATACATGCTTAGGAACGGCCACACTATTGGATATTAATGAATGAATGTGAGTGCTACAAACAAAAACTGACCCTGATGTGTTGTGATGCCAACCCCAATGCACTTTGGTGATGCAATCTTCCAAAATGGTGAACACCTTTTGGAAAAATTCTAAACAAAACAATCATCTTTACTTAATTTACAAGGTGACTGCATTCCTAGAAAACCCAGTGCACTGTGCACAAAAACACTTATATAAACAAACACTTATATAAACAGTGTTTATATAAACAAAACAGTTATGTTCTAGGATACAATAACTGGTGGGATACTAAAAAGTCATGTAGGACACAGGACAAGTCTGCCTGGTCCCTGCCCATCAGACACTTGTAGTATCCTCCAAACTGTGAGAAGATCAGCCCTACAAACGAACCCCGAAGGGGGCGGTAGGACACTGAGTGAGTCAGGTTCACTCAAACCTTGATTACTCTACAAAATGGGGGAGGGTGGGATGGAGGGTGGAGAGGCAACCACACCCACCACTTCTAGTTTCCTCATTCATAAACTAAAACTATGAGAATTTCAAGCAATCCCTCAGGTAAAGGGCTTCCTATTGAAGCAGCTTTTACTAGTAAAGCAAAGTCCACCATATCTGTTCAAATTCATGTTAAAATTGAGATGGCTAGGAATGTGATTTGGCTGAACTAAAATATATCAGGTTTTAATTAACACTCGAATCCAGTTTGTGGAAATGCTAAGTTTCAGGGGAAAAAAACAATAACCTTAAAAAGCAGCTTATTCCCTGGCTGGTGTGGCTCAGTGAAATGAGTGTTAGCCTGAGAACTGAAAGGTTGTCGGTTCAATTCCCACTTGGGGCACGTGCCTGGGTTGTGGGCAAACCACTCAATGTTTCTCCTTCTCTTTCTCCTTCCCTTCCTCTGTCTCTAAAAAAATGCACACAATCTTAAAAAAAAGGCAGCTTACATTCCATAACTCAGTCTTGCAAATTTATTATCAAATATTTAACTGGATTTAGATTTTCAATTTTTTAATTGGAATGGAATTTCAATATTAAAAAATGCACTCAAAGCTGTTACTTCTTTACATCTATAAGATCTGTTCTTTCATGTTCTCAAAGAAGGACAGCACAGGAGAAAACATTATTGTTAAGGCTAAGAGGGAATACTGCCACGGCCAACTGCATTAACAGTGGCCACACCCAAGTAAACTGGCAAAGAAATAAATGACTGACGGCAGCACTGCAGCGTGGGCACACCGGCGCCCAGATTACGAAGGCTCAACTGCCCGACTGGTTCACACCTGAAGATTTTACTTGTCATTAGGCGGGGAGGACAGAACTTGAAGACAGAGTTCATTCTAAAAGTCAGTACCACTTAAAGCAAATCTAAATTAAATAAGCCATGTCACTACAGGCTGTTTCCTAAAATTTTAGGCACAAAATACTCTGTAACACTAACATCTATATTAGCTTTCAGAAGAGGGGAACGTAAAAAGATGACCTTACATAAACTCAAAAGTTACTTTTAAAATCAAGATTTCTATTTTGCAACCAATGTATTATAGGGGAGGGAAAAAAGCTCTGTTGTATCACATTGGCAATGAATGAGGAACATACACCGCCCAGTACCATACACTGAACAGTTCCCACCCGAGTCACCCTTGGCATGGCTTCCTGGGTTCCTCAGGAAGGGCCTGAAGTACTTCTAGAGCAGTGATTTTCAACCAGCGTGCCGTGCCGCAGGCGTTTTTAAATCACGTAACACCTGACTATTTAGTCAGAGGCACTGACCTCTTTTCCCTTAGGTTGTCTAATTTAAAAAATGACAAGAGCCAACACAACAAGAGCTGTTGACATAATGAATCTAAATTATACCTATTTTTTTTCAGATCAGCAAAAAGTATGTATTTTGGTGTGCCGCAGAATTTCAGTGATTAGCATGTGTGTGCTATGAGATGAAGAAGGTTCGAACTCAGTGGTCTTGGCTGAACGTAAATTTGCTCAAAGGACACTGGTCCACTGCTGTCAGAACTTAAGGGGAAATAAACGTTACCATGTTTAGTTTCTGTCTAAACTTTCTATTCAATAGGTCTTACATTTTTAAAAACCCATGCCATTTCTACAACGATTAAGGCAAACTGCCTTATCTAATGTTAAAATTTAATTATAAAGCTTTTTAGAAAAGATCTAAATGGAACTTCTATATGTAATTTTTTTAAAGTCTCAAGTTCACAAAACTACTATTGCGAATTAAGACTTCACAGTTATTCTAGGTAAATACCTTCTCCCTTTTTTTAAAGATACAAATAAAATCACTATTAGTTTTCTACTATAAAAGACTCTGAACTTGACAATAAGTATGCTAGAGTCTCTTAATCCCATATTTCATCCTTATGTCTTACTTGCCTACACATAAGATATATTACTTTCCAAATAAAGGGAGGGAAAAAACACCAGACCCAGTGGGAGAAAGAATGTTTAATAAATGGTGTTGAAACAAATAGCTATCTGTTTGGAATAAAAATAAAATTAGATCCTTATACCTTGCACCATATAGAAAAATACATATATTACTGATGGACTCAAGAGTAAAAAATAAAAATCAAGTACCCAAAATTCTACATAGAATTTTAGGGGATTCACAGACTCCCAGAAGTCCATCCAAGGATCTCAGATTATCTAGAGAAATAAGATATAAGAGAAACTGTTAATCATCATGTCTATTAAAATCTCAATGCCAATACTAGACATGTTTTCAAGATTAAGTCACATGCAACCAATAAAGGGGAAGACATTAAATTATTGTTGCAACTTTATAAAATCTCCAAACTGGAACTAGAAACAGAGGCATGTCAATACAAATGGACAATGACCTAAAAAAAAAAATACACCAATTTAAATAAGTTTGAGTGCATACTGTACAAGTGTATCCATGTCTGGTAGTCTTTCAGAAATATAAAATCAGCTAAATCTGAAGTACTTAAAATTTATTTTTAAGTGTAATGTTATTCTCAAACTTGATTAAAATACTTAATAAATACAAGTTATGTTTATTATGAATAACTGCAACATACTTAAACATCTAAACATATTAATAGGAATTCTATAATATTAAAATGCAATACTTTCACCTGCATTAATCTCACACACAATGGAAAAATACTTGCAGATAATAGCATTAAGAATGCAAATATATTTTCACTGTGGAAGAAAAAGAATAAGATCAGAAATCATGTATTTGAGTGATCTACAAGGAAGCTGTAGATAGTCTACATTATGACAATCTATTTTAAAATGAAAACAATTCAATGTGTAAGTTTACAACAAGTTTACTCAAGGCAAAATATTTGTTTATTACAGAACAGGATCTTAAGTCAAAGTAGCAAGGCAACATTAGATCAACCATTTTAGATTTTTTAAATGAAGTATAGCTTTAAAATTGTAATAAAGGTGAACATAAATTCTAACATGCTCTTCTCTTCTTATAAATGGGATGATGTAGAAAAGCAAAGCTTCAACGTGTAGGGATTGGAACCATCTGCAAACATTAAAAAACAAAGTTAACAGCTCACTTCAAACTTTCAAGGTTACCTTAAATTAGCAGAATAAATTATTTTACCTTTTTATAGTATGAGAAGCAGGAAAATAAAGAAGGAAATCTTCTATGCAAGGTTAAGGGGAAGATTACTTTTGTTCATATCTACTAGCAGGAGAGCTCCAGGACGCCAGGAACTTTGTCTACTGCTACATCCCAACTGTTCTACCCATTATCCCAACACGCAGAAGGCCCTTGATTTTTTTTTTTTAAGTGAGTTAATCATTACAGATAAATAGTATCAGGATTAGGCATATGTCCATGAGCAAAAAGCTCACTCTGCAGAAAATATTACCAATGGTAATTCCTCAATAAAAACCAATTCAAATATAGCTTGGGAAGAGGGAAAAGACTGGAATGCAAAGGAAGATATCAATAAGATGAAAAAAATTCCAGGGATCTGGGATTAAATGTCTGATCACTAGCACATGTAAATTCTAAAATTACTTTTTAAAAAATACTCCCATTTCATACATTTTTCTCTAACTTTTCAGACCAAGCAGAAACAACTCTTCATTAATTATACAAGTAAACAATTCTATTTATTTTTCTTTCTTTTTTTTAAGTCCTCGCCCAAGGACATGCTTATTGATCAGAGAGAATGGGGGAGAAGAACATCAACTGGTTGCTATTCATATGCACCCCAACTGGGGACTGAACCTACAACCCAGGCATGTGCCCTGACTGGGAATTGAACCCATGGCCTTTCAGTCTACAGGATGACTCTCCAACCAAGTGAGCCACACCAGCCAGGGCCAATTCTGGTGTCTTAATATACCAGAACTTTAGTCTTAAAAGCCATAACTCCTTAAGGGAAAAAACATATAAAGGGAAAAGCCTATATGTAAAAAAGTATTTGTAAGACAGTGCAGAGGATAAAACAGAAATAACTTTATCTGTCTCCAAGGAGTTTATAATTCATATACTACCTTGAATATATCTCAATTGTACATATAATTTTAAAGTCTTTTAAAACTTTCTATCAAAAATTAAGCCTGACTCACTAATTGAAACTTACTTTTGTAACCAGAGGTAAGATGGGAAGTATTCCTATTTATTTAACTTTTTATTTAAAGAAATTTCACACGTAAAAAGATATGTGGAGTGGTATAATAAGCCCTCACATGTCACCTCACGTCAGTTACTGTCAGTATTTGGCAGTCCATTTCATCTGGTTACCCTCCATACACTGCTGGGAGCAAGAATATTTTAAAGCAAAATCCATAAATCCTTCAGTGTGTATTTTTTTCCTTAACTGCCATTCATTACTACACCTAATAAAATTAATAATTTTTCTCCTATTATTTAGAAAGCTAAAGTTTTAACACCCTTTAGAACCAGAATCAAAGTAAACCGCACAGCACAAAGCTTTAAGAGTTAAATACTTGTGTTGCTACAAGTGTTGGGAAACAGGCGTTTTCATTTACCACAGGCAGGGACGTAAACTGGTGCAAGCTTTTTCAAGGGCAATCTAACAACATTTACCAAAATACACAGCTCAATGCCCTCCACTACCAGGAAATTGCCCTACAAGTACGAAAAGTGCAACTCTAAGGACATATATTACAGAAACAGATAACTGGAAACAAGCAGTGATCATCTGTACAGAAATGGGTAAATCAAACAAACAAACTGGTATATATCTACTATGATTAGCTACTCTGCAAATGCTAAAAAAAAAAAAGAAAAATTGCAGCTCTGGTTGGTGTGACTCAGTGGATTGAGTGCCAGCCTGTGAACTGAAAGGTCGCTGGTTCAATTCTGGTCAGGGTACATGCCTGGGTCGTGGGTCAGGTTCCCCAGTTGGGTGCACGCAAGAGGCAACCAATTGATATATGTCTCACCCACATTGATTTTTCCCTCTCTTTCTCCCTCCCCTTCCTCTCCCTCTAAAAATAAATTTGTATAAATAAATAATAAATAAATAAATAAATAAAAAGTCTTAAAAAAAAAAAAACAGTAGCTTTGCATGTGCTCATATAGAAATAGCTCCAAGATATATTAAGTGAGAACAGCAAGGCACAGAATAGTATGTACAGAGAAACCATTCTGTGTAAGTTTCGAAATGTACATATATATTTACACTGGGAGAAGGAATAAAAGGAAGAAACAAGAGGTTAGAAGGTATTGCCCTGGCTGGTGCAGTTCAGTGGATTGAGCACCAACCTGCAAACCGAAAGGTCATTAGTTTGATTCCCAGTCAGGGCACATGCCTGGGCTGTGGGCCAGGTCCCCAGCTGGGGGCATGCGAAAGGCAGCCAGTTGGTGTCTCTCCCTTTTTTTCTCCCTCCTTTCTCCTCTCTCTAAAAATAAATAAAACCTCTTTTTTAAGGGTTAGAAGGTATAAAAGCTTTAATTTTCATTTTGTAGCTTCATGTACTATTTTGAGTTTTTTAGCCCTCTACATAGTTTTTCTCTAAAAAGGTCAACAGGTATTGTAGAGACCAGCTTTCAAGACGGTTGCAAGGATCCCTGCCCCCTGGTATTCACAGTGCTCTCCAGTCCCCTCCACACTGTACCCCTGCTGGTCTGTGCACATGTGATGCTACGTCACTTGCAATGCTAGGTTATCAAAGACACCGTGGCTTCTGTTTCGGTCTTCTGCTCTCATCCCTCTTGGATCACTCACTCTGAAGGAAACCAGTTACCATGAAAAGGACAGCATGGTCTGACTGAGCCTGCAAACCACCACCTAAGAGCTTGGAAGTGGGCTTTCTAGCCCTGGTCAAGACTAGAAATGCCTGCAGGCCTAGCAAACAGTCTCAGTGCAACCCCACGAGAGACCTTGAGCCAGAACTACCCAGCTAAACTGTATACAGATTACTGACCCTCAGCAATAATAAGATAATACATGTGTGCTGTTTTTTTTTAAACATCCTCACCCAATGACATTTTCATTGCCTTTAGAGAGATTAATTAAGGAAGAGAGAAACATCGATTGGCTGCCTCCCGTACGCTCCTAGACAGGGCAACGTATGCACCCGGACTGGGGATCAAACCTGCAACCTTTTGGCCATGCTCCAACCAGCTCATCCATACCAGCCAAGGCAATGTTTGCTGTTGTAAGGTGTTAAATGTTGAGATAATCTGTTACACAGCAATAGGTAACTAATTTAGCAAGTATATGGGTTGTGGGATTCATATGCTGTTTATTCTTTGTACTTCTCTAGTCTTTAAAAGCTAGTAAATGTTATTTTTAAATTACTGTGGATACTTCTGCCAGGACCTCCCACTGCAAAATGATGACACAATTTCACTTACTTGGAACTCTTATCTGGTAGTGATTAAGAGCGGTAAGGGCTTCTACAGCATCGGTTTTGCACTCCCATTCTAAGAGCCCAGAGAGCGTTTTGGCAGATGCTAAAGCAAAGAATCACAAATCCCGCTGTTATTTGCTTGTCATCAACTTAACCAGAAAACTTAAGAAGAGGGAATGTGCACTTACGTTTTGCATCGAACACTTTATATTTGATGAATGTAAGAACTTCATGGTCATTACACAACTGTTAAAGAAATGCAGTGCTCCATTAAAAATATGGTCAAAATAAGATTTCTACCTTTTTTTAAACAAAATCAAGTTTATGGCAGCTTTAAGTTTTGAGCCTGGCATGAATGAATTAGATAAAATATGTTTTTAAATTAACAAGTTGTATGAGAAAATCAATTAAAACCACAAATTTGTAACTGAAATACATATTCTCAGACCAGGATTTACTGGCTGACCAACAGGAATGGAGTTCCATAAAATCAACTCTTTTCTGAAGCATGTCCTACAGTCAGGGAAGAAGTCAGGGATATATAAAATTTTGTTATGGGTAAGAATTAAAAACATAGCAATAGAACTTTCTGAATGCAGGATTAAGAGTACCTCATTCTAATTTCAACTCTTAAAAGACTGAGTCACAAACCAAAAAGACCCATGAAGAACAGAGGCCGGAAGAGTATAATGGCCAAAGAATAAAGTATATAAACAAAGCACCAAACAAACAGACTACTAATAATATCAAAAACAGATGAACAGAGCTAAAATATGGCATATCTGAAAACAGAAGATAGGAACATTTTACACAATCGGTACATCAGGGCCTACCTTTGTGAAGGTCTCTTCTGTGACACACAGCGGAACATTGTAATAATGCAGCACACATGAGGGCGGCTGGATTATGTTCTTAGATGCCTGGCCGGCACTGGTAAAGCGATTGTTCTTGCTCATTGCAAAATCCTTGTAGCTACTTGTACCATCCTCCAGCTCAAAGATTTGACTGGGAACAACTGAATGTTGTTTAGACACACTAAAGAGTGGAAAGGGATAAAGTACAGAACAGACCTTGTTAGATAAAAAGCAGCATAAACACAGTCTCAAAATGTTAACATATATACCCACATCAATCTTAATAAAAAAGGGCATATGTAGCTATGTAAACAGTTTAAATGTTTAATATTTTGAACATTTACTTAAATATGTAAATTTAGTTTGAGTTAAATCACTCATATTTTAGACATTAGAAAGACAAATCAATTGAATATGTTCTCAGAAAACTTTAACATAAAATGTACCCACTTTAACATACTGTTTTATAATCATAAAACTAAAAAGTAGGTAGAGGCAAGCAAAATCTGATTGCATAATCCTAACACTTTGCCTAGAATCATTAACACCAAGGTATAAATTTCAGATGTGCCCTCAGTTACATTAAAATATTCTTAAATTGAAATTAATGTTGTTAATAAAAAGGGTAAAGATTTTAAAATATTTTTAAATTTAGCACTTAAGGTATTTACCAAACATTAAGTCTTTTCCCAAATAATTTGACATTGTTCAGGTGTGTGACCGCCCTTTCTACAGCATACTCATCGCCCATTTCGACCAGGGCTGTACCAGGGATGGTCTTCATGAATTTCACCTGTGAATACAAAAATTCCAAAAAGGTGACTATTTCATTCCCTTTTAGAGTAACAGAATTACTAAAAGGTAATATGGCTTAAGTGGTTATATTAAATACAGAAGATCACCTGGCATCTTAAACTTTATTCTGATGTGCTATTAAGACAAACTTAAATCATATCGAAAAAAGTTAAAAAGAGTTTAATTATGTTGTACAGCACACTGAAGAAGAGCACAGGCTTACCCTGGCTCTGTTACTTATTAACTGTGTGATACACAGCAATTACTTCACTTCTCTGAGCCTCAGACTTCCCTGTAACACGGAGATAACAACAGCTGACAAGACTCATCAATATTTATTTATTCAACAAATATTTATTAATTCCTAATGCTTTGATAAGCACTGTGCTAGGCAGCACTGGGGGTTTAATAATGAATATAACAGACATGGTCCTCTTGAAGTTTATATTCTAGCAGGTAGGTCAGAAACTTAAAAGTAAGTAATATTTACCAACATCCAGAGTGCTGCTACAGCAATATGCAAATCCTATATAAGAAACAGTAAAAGGCCCTGGCCGGGTAGCTCAGTTGGTTAGAGCACAGACCTGATACGCCAAGGTTGTGGGTTTTATCTCTGGTCAGGTTATACACAGGAAGCAACTAATAAATGCATAAATAAGTGGAACAACAAATCAATGTTTCTCTCCCCCTAGAATCAATAAACAAAATAAATAAATAAAATTATGAAAAGAAAAAATAATACAATGTGGCCTTGAGACAACACTGCCTATAGAAAGGCTTGTGCAAGGTAGGGGCAGTTTAAAAAACAAGCAATACTTCACAGGTTTTCGTGCCATCTTGGGCAGAGGCCACATTATCCTCTTATTTTAATTTTAATATAAGTGCTGTAAGGGTTAGATCGGATCAAGCATGAAAATCACTTAGCATAGTGCCCTGACCAGCGATTGAACCCAGCGAACTTCTGGTTCACAGGCTGGTGCCCAATCAATCCACCGAGCCACACCAGCCCGGGCCATGACATACTGCCTTATCAGCTGACTTCAAAGGAATAGTGGGGATGTACTTACACATCAAATGCAACACAGCACTTACATCCACCACCGCCACTGTCTATTTTAATGTGCTACCCTAGCATTTTTATACTACACCTGCACTTGAACAAAACTCAGCTGTAGCAGGATTTTTTCAGTTTTATTTGAAATTAACTATCTTCTTTTGGGCAAAATTTATCTTCCTTGATTAAAACCAGTAACATCCTACAAATCTAATCATGAATAAATATATATGTTAAGTATGTAGTTCTTGTGCTGGTAAATCTTTAAAAGAAGTTAGGAAAAATTATATATAGACATTGTAAGGATTATAATGGTTTGAGTTTAATGTATCATAATATATCACTTAAAATATTTTTAAAATGTTGAGATGCTGAGTGAGAGAAACTAGAATTGTTCAAACAACACATAGAAAACTTAAGTTTTGTTAGACAAAGTAATTTGGGTTACTAAATCATAATTAGTTCATAACACAAAAGACAAATCTCTACTAAAGATACTGATTAAACTGCCTGATTCTGATTACCTAATAAATGTGAAAAGCACAAAAAGAAAAGTAAAAATTGTAAAGAAGGTTAAAATATACATTAAAGCCCATTTAGGTATCAAGCATGAGGCTCCCAGACCTTAACAAACAACGGAACATCTAAGATAAATGCCTATGTGAAAAAATCTGCAGTTTCTCCCAATGTTGCTAAATCTGTCCCATGTAGTCGTGGCTAGTTACGTAAGTAGATACATCTCGTATGTTCTCACCTAGACCAAATGTAAATTTTTTTTTAAATGTGGTCAAATTAAGGTCTAAGAGTACCAAGAGACTCACATAACACTTACACTTTTTTATTGTTGTGAAAACAGAGGAAATATCATTACTACAATATTGAAACTTAAAGTAGCAAATATATCAAACAACTTCCCCAGTAAGTTTTCCATGATGCTTTCAAATATAGTTTAACATCTATTTTGTAATAGGGACTATCCTAAGAATTTATAAAATTATCAATGAACAGAACATAACAGATGTGGAGAAACTACAGAGTTATCTGATGAAAATCAAGTTACAATTTGAGAGATCTTCAAAATATGTTTAATTTCAATGTTTTGCTTCTTTTTAAGTATAAGCCTCTGGACAAGGAGTTCTGGCCAAATTCTATCAAAGTGGGTCAGTTTCAAACACCGCTGGAGCTAAGAGCACATTGTTCCTCAGAAGGTACAGGAACTCTAGCATTTGGGAGGCAAGTAAATCTATGCAAATCTAGAACTCTCCTAAAACTCATGACTTGAGTCAAACTCTGAGACATATTTATATATACCTAGCTCCATTAAAGTAACTGCTATTTCAAATTCCAGTTTAACATGTTAAATACTAGCATCTGTTGCCCTGGCTTGTGTGGCTCAGTGAGTTGGGTGTCATCCCACAAACTAAAGGTCGCAGGTTCAATTCCAGGTCTGGGCACGTGCCTGGGTTGCAGGCCCGGCCCTGGACTGGAGGCATGTGAGAGGCGACTGATCAATGTTTCTCTCACATGTGGATGCTTCTCTCTTTCTTTCTCCTTCCTTCCCCCTCTCTCTAAAAATAAATAAATAAAATCTTTCAAATGCTAGAATCTCTTTGAAATGATAAAAATAAGATTTATGTCTATAATACTCTAGTAGTGATTAAATTGTTTTAGACTTCTATCTGTATTAGTTATTTAAAAAATGTCTAAACAATAACCTATACTGATCACTAACCAACAAAAAATTTTTAGAGTTTCTACGTAATGAATTTTTAGCCATGTGGATTACTACTAAAAGAACTTGAATGTTCTTACTCAAGAAAACATATATTTGCTGCCTTTTCAGATTTTCCTATATTATCTTAGCAAAATATATACATATAAAATTAAACTTACCTTTTCAATATTTCCATATAAGCAAAATAAGTTGAAGACTCTTGAACAATTCATTTTCAGTGGATGCAACCCACTAACCATTACAACTGAGCCAGAGGGACTTCCTCCATGCATGTAAGAGGAAGAGGCCTGTGGTAATGGGTATGCAACAAGCTCAGGCGTATCTCGAGAGCCCATTCTGTAACGGCTTGGTAAAGGCAACAATGGACCATGAGATCCTATAAAAATGATCAAGAAAAGAAAAAACACAACTTTAGCATATATACTATATACCAAGCAAAAAATAAACTCTTAATATAACTTAGTCTAATATATGCCCAAAGAAAACTCAAATGTGTGAATGTTCAAATACAACCTGTGGTAATTAATAAAATCTACGATTCTTTGGGCCAGATCCAATATACACTGGCCTGCATACATCAGGTTTTAAGTTCATATATTTGAAAAAAAAATAGTGGCTTAACAAAAAAAGGTATACAAGATGAGGCCATAGATAGAGAGGGGGATATCAGTGTAAACTTGGGGTTACTATATATACATCGTTATACCTCAAGTTTTAAAAAAAAACCTTCTGACAATGTCTTTTGGGGGATACTACTACAAAAACATATACAGTAAAATCTGGAAAACTATCTGTATATAGATATAACAAAAAGAACATCTTTAGTTCCACTGAAAAGTTGTCTCTTTTAGATATAACTTACTACAATGTACTTTCAGGTTAGTATTTTATTCCAATTCTAATTCAGGTGACTAAAACCACAGATATCACACCTCTTCAGAGGTGTCGTTATTCAGCCACCTCCACTTCTCACAATATCAAGAAGCAGAAGAAACAGCCTGAGTAACTGAACCTGTTGTCACAAAAAAACACACAAGAATCTATGTCTCTTATGATGAGAATCCTTAAGAATCAACCTAAAATCTAGAGTAGTTCTAAACAACTTCATCTGGTTTTCCCATCCACAACAGATTAGAAGTAACAAGAAAAATAAGGCTACAGTACATGAAACAGACAAGAATGAGCGAGTCTGGAGAAACTGTGATACCACAAGTAGGCTCAGGGCACTTAAACAACAAGAAGGGAGGCATAAGCACTCAAGAAGAGGCAACTAAGCTGGAGACAAGGAGCTCAGAAATATAAACCTACACATCACAGATGCTCCTGAGTTAGTGATCATGGAAGCATACTCTGGGATACATGCAAAGGTCCTCTTGATGTGCAGGAAACCAATCCAAAATCCCAAGTCCTTTCCTCGTTTCTCAGAAAGTGAAAACTATAATGCTACTGACTTTCATTTTTACGTTAAGACTAAGGGACACGGTAATAACATTTTACTATTACCCACTGAGTTACTAAGTACTACTGTATTTTGGTATTACAGCATGCCATTAGAGCTTATATGGACTCGGTATTCAGTATTCTAAATATAGCTACCATTGATCACAACACAGCAATACTACCACTGAGCACACATGCAAACAGTCTGAATTTCTGCAATTTCACAGAGCAGCAATTTTCAACTGGTGTGCCATAAAAAGTTTTTTAACATGCAATACCTGACTTTCAAAATTTTTTAAATGTTTATTGGTTTGAGAGAGAGAGGAAGGGAGAGAGGAGAAGAACACTGACACGAGAGGGAAACACTGGCTGGTGGCCTCCCATAGGCACCCTGACCAGGGATCAAACCTGAAACCTAGGTATGTGCCCTGACCGGGAATCAAACCCTCAAACCTTTAGTTGGGATGCTGCTCCAACTAATTGAGACATATGGGCCAAGGAGCAATATGTGACTCTTCAGTCAGGGCCACAGACCTCTTTTCCCTTAGAGTGTCAAATTAAAAAATGACAACAGCCAACACAATAGCTGTCCAGTGTGAATGAATCAAAATTATACCTTTTTGGGGTCAAGATTGGCAAAAAATATATTTTTGTTGTGCTGCAGATGTGCCATGTGATAAAAAAAGGTGAGAAATCACTGTTACAGAGGAACCCTTTATCAGTGTGTCATCATCAGTATTGCCTTAAACTGGTCACGGTTTTCAATGGCTCTTCTTGTTGGCAATTGGTAGTTTATCAAAACAACCAATATCGCTTATGGTGAGTTGCCTGTAAGTAAGTACACATACTTGGGCCTCTAACTTCAACTATTATACATACACTGGGGTCATACAGCAATCATTCTTATCCCTATGCAAAAGTACATATACATATTCTACTGCACCACTCCCCCACCATTTGCTAGTACAGTAAAAACATGTTGCTATTATCACTAAATTTTCTTTTCCATGGGAAGTGGAAAGATGTATGGTAGATGGGCAGTAGAAACCTTCCACTATTTTTTAGTTGGCCAAGATCCAAAAACTTTTGAGATCTACTGCCATACTTAACTATCAAATTCAGTGCAAGAGTTTAACTGATGTTTATAATTATGATCTTGAGCCATCAGAATTGATTAAATTATGTTATCCATAAAACTTAATTTGTTACCTATATTGTTTAAGAAAATAAGAAAAAAAATAAGTCTTGTAAAAGCTTTCTGTACTAAAAAGTTCATGCAAAAAAGTTTTGGTGCTTAAAAAACATGCTTCAGGTAGTATTTTAAAAATCAACTTACATGAAAAAATGCTACATAAATGGCATTATTAACATTTTAAAGGAGTTTCTCATCTTTGGTATTCTTAAATCTTTGGTCCAGGAACCACATCCAAAGACACTGGCAATTGGTACACAAACTTTTCGTGGACTCACAGCAAATAAATCTGTATATTTATTTTCGCCACTTTTCAAATATAAGGGCTTCTATCAGTTCACCTCATAGAGCTGGGCTTCCCAAATTAAAAGACTTAAAGAATTCCGAAGGCACAGATTTATACTGTTATCCTGCATTAAATAATGAATTGACTCTAATTAAAGAATTAAACCTTTTCAGTTCCCTCTTTCTTACATTATCAACATAAAGGAAAAGCCACATGTGATATGGCACAAAAATACAAATAATCCTGTTTCGCTGAACAGCTAGACCTAAGGGATACAGTGTGACCTGCTGCATTTGTAAAAATTCACCAGCTCCCATTCCCATCTTCTACATCTTTCCCCAGTTTCCTCACCTTACTTCTCTGCATCTTTATCCATCTGTCCCCCCATCCCCCTCCCCTCCTATACCCTATTCTGCTTACTTCCCTAGAAAGTAGAATTATCCTCAGAGTTAAGTGTTTCAATGAACACAGCTCAGAACAGACGCCCCTACACAACCCCACCCAACCATTCCTCTCCAGCAGGACTCTCCAGAGCCTGAAAGGTCCCTACTTAGCAACCATCATCATGCCCTGGCTGGGTAGCTCAACTGGTTAGAGTCATCCCAACTTCAAGGTTTGCAGGTTTCATCCCTGGTCAGGGCACATATGAGAAGCAACCAATGAATGCATAAATAAGTGGAATAACAAACCGGTGTTTCTTTCTCTCTCCCTCCCTTTCTCTCTCTAAAATCAATAATTTAAAAAATCACTTCAAAGAATTCTGCACCTCCTCTCTTTAAGTAAGCTTACATTTTAAACTTTATACACACAAACACAAACACTCTAAATAAATTAGGGCATAAAACTGACAAAGTATTTTACAATATGCTTTTAAAAAATGAAGTTCTTCTAGGGCATATACCATACTTTTATTTATATAATTTTTCAGTGAGGTATATTTTATAAAGGAAGGAAAACCTAAAAAATCACGCCGAGAAAACAGTCTATGTCAACACTACTGCAGTGGAGTTCTTTGTCCTTCCATAAGAAAAGATTTATTCTTTCACAGATTTTTCTAGCCTGCTTTGGCAAAACGTTTAACCAATTCCAGCCTTCACCTGACGCCCATGGCACAGTTTACATGTTCACAACTACACTACAAACTTATGATGAGCAATTCTTCATAAGTGACCCTCCATTACGCAAAGCACAGCGGGCTCCTAATAAGTGTTTCTTTACCGCAGGGTCAGAACTATCCACACGACCATTTTTAATATTTACCTTGTGAAAGAAACCTTGATAAATTTTGAAGGAACACACTCTTAAAATGACAGTAAGCAGTAAGGTTCTCATTCTATTAATATACACCACACCTACTCCTTTGTCATAACGTATTGTTTTAATTCCTTCTGCCATATAGACTAATATAGAAACTTGAACAAACACACGAGCATACACGTAATAAATCTTTTTTGGGGGGTTTCAAAAAAGACAACAGGGGATAAACAAAAACCCACAGCTAAGAGTGGTTATCAAACATGTAGGCAATTTGAAAATATTTCAGACAACAGGCAACACCAGTGGTTTTGATGTTAAATCCCAAAGTATGATATAGCAATTTCTATTTTCTACTACTTTAAATGGCTTTGGACTTCAACTTTAAACCACAGAATAGGTGAGGTCAATGATTAATGCTTTTTAAAAACTAAAAAATATTTAAAACCACACAACTTATAACCAGTTAAAAATGCCATCGACAGCATTTCTCAACATCTATTCACAAGGACAATAGCCTGATACCTAACTCCTTCCTGTAGAAAAGTATTATTCTAGGCTACATAACTTAACTTACTAACATAGCAAACATTAAAACTAAAGAACTGTTAAAAGAGGAATTAAATACAAACCAATTCCACCAAAACCAAAATATCAACTGTAGAACAAAAATAATTACAGATCTAACCAGAAACATGTTTCCTTTTCAACAAATGCCCCATTCTTTCTGCCTTTATTACTCAAAATTCCTCTTTGCTCATAATTGCTAGAATAGATGAAAATACACTTACTGAGCAATAACACTTCTTTCTGGCCCTCTAACAGAACCAGAGCCAATTACTAATCAAAACCAAGACAAAACAAAACAAAATATGGTGGTAAAAAAGCTTTCAAATTGCCAATAAATAGCCTCATTTATCTCAAGGATTATATGATATATCAATAGTCTTAAGAAAAAAACCAGATGGTTCTGGGCAATTCCTTGGGAGTACATTACAAGGGACTGATCCCATATAAACCAAGTCTGGGGAGCAGGAAAAACAGAAACAAGAAATGAGGCATTCTTCATAAAAAATGCAAAAAGGCCAACAGTTCGTCTGTACTACCTTCCTTCTGCCTTGACACACTTACCATAGCCATCATGTCTAAACGAAGAAGGGTGTTCTCCCAAAATGGCTTGTCTCTGGCGACCCTTTCCTCTATCTGACACAAAAGTAGAAACATGGTTTTAACAATTTTGACCCAAGTACTTAACAGAGTTCTCACATGGGAAAACCCATTCAAAACATCCATTAGAATTCATAAAAAATATATATATATGATACCTGGTTAACTTTAAACATCCATTCATATCCATTTTAAATACAAACACCAAAGGTTTAAGAAAATAATTCTATCTAACAAACTCCACTTGACTTGAAATATCTTTTTGGCAAATGCCAAATACAATCACACTTTCAAATTTAAGAAAAGAATGGATACTTTTCAGAAAGGGAATGTACACAATGCTAAAGTTTGACACTGTACAGAAGTTTTTACCAATACATGTCTTTAAAACAAGCTTTAAGTGCAGTACTTTTGAAAGACAGTACCTGAATCATACTATTAGCTTCAACAGCAACACATTTTCAAAGTGGGCTTCTTTCAAGAAGTTCAGCATAAGCCAACAACAACCTGTATTACATGGTTTCACAATCAGTAAACACAGAGTATTTTGAATGTATATACACATATTTACAAACACCTACACACTCGAGAGCTGGAAATCTGCACATCACTGGCCCAGGTTATATCATGGATCAGTCATTGTGTATAGATCTTAACACCAGGCAGGACTATGAGCACCCTCAAAATTTAAAGATGCCAAGAAGAAGCTAACCAAGGGGGCTACATTATTGGATGAGAGTACTACAATACTCCTAAAAATTTGTTTTATTATTTTAGCTACATTTTCAGGGAAGATATGCCAATTTTCCCAAATCTAATTTGAGACTTCAATAAAGTGACTTGTAAGTTTCTAAAAGCACTTCCTGTGTTGGTTAGTGAGTTTTAAAATTCATTGTACAATACTTTTAGAAAGCATGCTGATCAAATTATGGCGACCAGTAAGATTTTTTCTTAATTTATCTTAAGAGTCTGGTCATTCTGATCTTTGAAAATTCAGAGAGAGAGGCTTTCTATATACCCTTAGTCACCTAAACAAATGAGGTTTATGGGAGATGAGAAATACTCTAATACTCACTTCTGTCTAGAGAAGTAGTGTGTTAATTACCTATTCCAAGTATTGATAGCACTGATAGGGACCTAGGAAGTCATCGAGTTCAACTACTTTTATTCAGTGAGTAAATTCTCTTCGTGTCATCCCGATCAACTGGGACCATGTAGCCTCTGCTGACCCAACACCAGTAACAAGACACTCACTACTTCCCCTTGCATTTTCAGTTAGTCCTAAATCACTAGGAAATTAATTTTTATATTATACAGAAATTAGTCCCCTACCCATATTCTATCCCATTTGGGGCCTCACAGACAAGTCTTTCCACAACACCCTTCCAAGTACTTGAAAGCTACTATGATCCTCCCTCCATTTCCCCAAAGCCATTTATTTCTTCTCCAGTCTAAACATTTCTTCTTCTTCCCATTACAAGGCTTCTGGCACCATCATTTCAATCTCACTCCTTTTGAATCAATCCAATCTGCTAATGCATTCTGCTAATGTGCCTCTATTTAAGCATGCCACCAAACACTAAATACAATTCCTTATCTGATCTAGGAATCTTAAACCAAAACCACCAGGTCTTCAAGGCTTAGTCTTATCCATAGTTAATCGTGTGCTATAAAATAAAGGAAAGAACACTGGATTGGGAATCAGAAGATCCCCACTTAACCACTAATTTGCTATACAATCACAGAAACAATCTTCATTCACAAAATGAAAGAGTTAGGGTAGATGATCTCCAAGGTATCTTTCAGCCAAACATTATCATTACTAATAATTCTCTTTATTTGAAGCACTCACTACCTAATATAAGATCACATAAAAGAGAAGAACTATGAAGAAAAGTCAAAAAAACACTGAATACACCAATCTATAGATAGTGGTTTATAGCCTTTCCTGGATTCATCTGAAACCTGATGGAAGCTGTGGGCCTTCTCCACCGAAAGATACAGAGATAGACAAGTTTCATTTAACATTTCTGGAGGGATTCTCTGGAGTTCAGGCTAAAAATTCTTTGCACTAAAATGTAATTTGGGCTGAAAAGAACTTTTAAAAAATAAAGTTATATTTATAGAAGTACTTTTTTTGGTAAAAAAAAAAAGTTACAATTTAATGTCAAGTAGCTGAGTAGAAGCTGAACTCACTACAAAAATAAAAACATCAACTGCTATAGTGTTGCCAGACAAATATCTACCTGTAAGGAATTAGGAAACAAAATTTTTTCCCTTGAAAGCATGAACAACTAAAATTCTGTTTGGCTTCCTTTAATTATACTTCACTATTTAAAAATCTACCTTACACATTTCTAAAACTTTTGACTGTAATTCCTTGCATGAAAAACTAATGTAAATTGGCTTTGTGTAAAACTTTAGACCTTAAAAAAAAAAGATGTTAACACTATTAAAATAAGAAGTATGTCTACAAATGTTTTTTTAAGAGAAATATAACCAAAATCATTATTTCAAATAAGAAAAATAACAAAGCAAAACAAAACCCTGAGTGTTCGCTGACTGTAATTTGACAGAAGTGAGAGATTTCTCATCAGCCACTTATTCTGTTGTTTGAGTGCTAAGGCTTTGTTTTCCAACACTGCACTCAAGCGCACCAGGCCTATACCAAGCAGATTTCTGAGTAGTGAAAAATGTGGGGTCCAGCCAAAGCTGCATTACAAAACAAATCTGTTTGTAACCCCATACATCAGGCAAGATGATTTCCTGAAAATTGAGAATTAAAGGGGCCAATCGTACAAAGGTCCTAAATATTTAAACATGCAAAGAACCACTGCACTGTATTTTTTTCTTTGGGCAAGAATATATGCACTAGAGTCCCTACTGCCCAAGATATTTTGGATGCCATAAAATTTTTTCTGGTTTATTAAATTTTACAGACACACTTATCTTGCTGAGTTTTCCCAACATATGGTTCAAATGCTGATATTGTAGTTGAGATGTAGCCAATATTGCAGCCCCCTTGTTTTTACAAGATCCACATTTTAAACTGTATATTCCAAAATTGCCACACATTTAGTTGAACAATTTATCAGTAAAATCTATGCTCATGAAATCTAGCATTTATAGGTTATAGGTGAAAATGTATCTCAAATGAACTGCTCTTACTTTCAGATTTATCAAGTTTAAATAGATTCTACCCTGAACAGACACATTACTTTCACCTCCATTTGAAATGTCAAAATTTCTAGTTATACAAATTAACATGAGTGATAACCTTAAATTGTTACAAAAAGTAACAACTTATAAGCAACCACTTTACAAAAATCAAACCACACAGAAAATCGTATTTTACATATAATGCACTTTTCATTGTATTATTCTATTCAATGACCACACTTGAGGGAAAAAAAAAAAACCTTAAGTGCAGCAAGTGTGCACCTTTCTAAGCCTTTTATCTTTAATATCTGTGTGGACTGGTTGAGCATTATCAATTTCCAAGACCTGCAGATAAACTGGCCCTCGTTATTTGCCATTTAACAATTTGAATCTAAGCTACAAACAGTTACAGTAATGGGCATTAAGATTTACAACATTGTAGATATAGGCTAGTATTTGTTAGTGAAAAGTCTTAAATTCTACAACTGAAGCCTTAAGGGAAATCAGACCAATATACACATACAACTTGAATAAATGGGCACAGTCTATCATGGTGTTCATCCCATGCAAGTCTGAAGTACTGTTAAGTGTCCACCTTTAAAAACTTGGGTGATGGTGCATGCAGTATGCAGTCAAGGTGAATTGCAAGTCTGAGTTTTTCAGAGGGCTTTTTGCTGATGCCGATGTTGTGCATGATGAAGTGTAGAGTCAGCCTGCTGGAGTCCTCTATCCTTCTTAATGCCTCGTCCAGCTTGGGGGAAAAGTCCTTTCCATAGAGAAGCAGTGTGCAAGTCTGAAGTTTGTAAGGAATATTCTGAATCAGTTTCCTCTCCTCCAAAGAGAGAGAGCTGCTTGGAGAAATGCAAGTCCTTGAACTGCGCGCGTGCTTGTATGTGTGGGCTCCTTTGTTGAACTAAATATAAATAACTCAGTACATACCAGTAGGGGGCACTAATGTTCAAGGTTATTTTCCAGCATTGCATGGCCTTTTGCAACAAAAGCATTCATCAACAAGATTTTCATTGGAATGAACTAGCTCATATAAAAATTTTCAGCAGATACAAGTACATTCTAAAATACATAAAATACTTACCTCGTCTTCCCAAATATGGTTTAGTGTAGTCCCAACTGTCATTGTCATTCCTAATAACATTTAGACGAGTTGGCTGTTAAGATTAAAAAGAAAGTAAGTTCAAATTGTATACCCAAAGCCTAAATATTTCTTTGGTGAAGTGCTGGAAAAATACTCACCCGTGCATATTCGATTTTTAGTGTGCAACACCCAGCATATATGTCTGCTCCATTGAGTGCTGCTTTAGCTTTCTGGGCACAAAGGACTGATTCAAACATAAGCTCTATTAAGGAAATTTGGTTTGAGATGTCTAATAATCATTATTCAATCCCTAAGGAAAGGACTTGAAAAATTAGAAATAACTCTTTCACTTCTGAAAATGTTTTAACAAATAAAATTCCTAGGTGAGTTTTAGTAGGGGATTTTATTTTTAGAATCAACAGTACCATCGCAAGATATATAAATGTCTAATTACTATGTTGTATACCTGAACCTAATATGTCAACTGTAATTTCAAAATAAATTAGAAAAGGAAAAAGAATCAACGATATTAAAAAAAACAACCGACCTATCTCCACATCAATATAACCGACCTATCTCCACATTAATCCTTCTAAATACTCAGAAGTACTTTATAAATTGGAACAGAGAAGGCAAAGGGAACATGATCACATTCCCCAGCAAGAGAGCTCACTATCTTGAAACAGGAAATATTTTACTCTTAACATCACAAAGATCCAAAATAATACAAAATAACATGTAATTTTATATATATTTCTGAAAAGGCAGGGTTTTATAATCACGTACTTAAAAAAATTTGTCTATGATTCTTTCCAAAAAATAAAATCAAACTACAAAAATTGTTAAAAAAAAAAAAGTAAAACACTTTGCCAGAAGTAAGCACCATTAGGATTTTGTTGTTTATCCCTACCTTTCTCTACGCATACATTAGTTTTTTAAAAATTATTATTATTTTAAACAGGACTGTATTATACTACACATACTATTTTGCAACTTGCTCTTTTTTACTCAAAATACAACAAATTTAACAGAGAAGCAGTTCTCACATAAACTAGGATCATTTAAGATTCAATAAAGAAAAGTAAGAAAGGTTCTATTGATTCTAAAGTTTTGGTACTTCCAAATGACTTATTTTAAGAAGAAATCCAGAAAAGTTTATTCAAGATAAATTTCAAAAAAGTACAATTATACATACTATCAAATAGTGTTATTGTTTTCCTTCTTTGAAAAGGCAAAACACTCTGTAAGATGAAGCACCAGATTGTCTTATGATAGCACACAAAATTATTTGTGGGTACTACAGTTTCAGTGTTTAAATCTAAGAAAAATAGACGGGGGGGGGAAATAACTACCACTTGTCTAAAAATGATCATGCAGAAAAAAGTAACGTCTATGTTACACAGCATTCACTCATGTCAATTAAAATATTACAAAGGATATTCAACCATTGCTTGTATCCCATTTCTCTTGAATATAACAATACGCTGCACCTTTCCAACAGGGTTGCACACAGTATACAAAACATCCTAAGAAGGAAAAAATAAAATTTCTTCACATTTTATATTTGGAAAAACATCAAGGCTATACATTGATTTCTTTTACTAAAAACAACAAAAAACATTGTCAAGATGTCACTTCTATTAATTACTGATTACTTTTAAAAATTGTTACACTTCAATAAATCTACAGTTATTTCCTCACCTACACAATACCCACACATTAGAGAAATTCCAATGAAATATCTGAAAATCACTATTATCTTATTTGATCCCTAAATGAATCCTCAATTTTTATTTTCTCAACAGACTAAAGTACAATAAATACCAGAACTGCAATTAATTTATCTGTTGCTTTCCAAATGCGACTCTGAAACGGTTCATATTATAACCACTTGAATATGGTAGTAAATATTTATTAAGGGGTAGTAGTACAACAACTTGGCATCAATTTTTCAAGGGGAAATGGCTATTCAGAAAAGACCCAGAGAAGATCATTTATACAGTGTTAAATGGCATCAAACAGGATGCCTGAATCAACTAAGGGAGAGCCTAAACACCCTCTTAGGGACAATTTTTCAACTTCTGAGAAATTTCTTGAATATCTACAATTACATAGCCATACCATTAGGTGGTACAAACCAGAGCAGGTGTACTAGATTAAGTTATATTCTGTTCCCCAAAACACCAAATATTTTAAGTATGTCAATACTGTATACTAATATCTATAATATTATAAAATACAAATGTCTAATTAAAGGCATAAGATATTTAAACTTGTCCCAGTATCATATACCCTTACTAGAAATTACACTAATTGACATTTCCCTTACTGTAATATTCTATTCATTACAAAAATCAAGTGTCTCTGTCCCTAGCTTGTTGTGAAGCAGCATAGGATTACAAAATAGAACACGCAACTGGTCCAGAACATGAATCATTTTTAAAATTCTAATATCACTTTTTTAAAGGGCGAAGCAGAGAATTTAAGTAAACCAGGCCAGTTTTTAACAAGCTCCATCAAAAGACCTTACAATAACGACATATGCATCTTACTACACTATAGGAGCCTGCCATTACCTAGTAGATGCTTTTGATCAAGGTGCTGGCACGTGAGTGAGAGAGTTCTTGGACCATTTCCAACAAGTCCATCTAACCCCTTATTAGAAACAGTCACCACAGATGCTTTAAATGTGCTTATTTAGTTATGACAACTGTACTCTTGAACTTTCTAGTATCCGCGCTTACCATTTGTTTGTCCATTAAACTTAATAGTCAAAGTTAAGATTCATTCTAATAATTCTAAAAACAACCACTATTTCTAAATATCGAGAGGGCAGTGAAGAAAACTATATGATAGTCAATCAAGCAGCAAACTCCAAAATCACTTTTAGTTTGTCATATGAAAAATCCATACCACTGTAATTGGATAAAGGGGATTCTGAATTGATAACAGAAGAACTTTGTTGCCTCCTGATGGATCATCAGTATTTCCTGGCCGAGTGATCCTCTTGCTTGTAGAATAGTTGAAAAAAGCCTGTTGACCAGCAATGTACACAGGTTCATCCGCAGCAAATGTCACACACTCTTTGGCACTGTCGATGTTCTCAAATTCCACTAGCGCCTGCCGTTTGAATGGCATCATCATCACATAGCTGAATGGGAGATTGGGAGACAATACCCACATGTAGTAAGTTCAGTTAACATCATTTGCTCTCAATCAAGTAAAAGCAGACTTTTTCTTTAAAAAAATGAGTCAAATTATACAGATTAGACTTCTTTACCTGTATCCAAAAAGTTAGTCAACTCTTACATCATCCAAATTCACTGTGCTATAGCAGGTAGATGGTGCGTATTTGAAAACTTACCCTCCTATGATTGAAAGCATATCCATTTCATGCCTTCCTCGGGCACAATTTTCTGTTATCAGTTACTGATGACACTACTCAGTTTATTCCTCAGGCTGCCACTCCCAAGTACATTAGAAGATATCTCAATACAGAAACAATGAAGCCCTGGCTGGTGCGGCTCAGTGGACTGAGCAATGGCCTAGCAACCCAGGGTTGCCAGTTCCATTGCCAGTTTAGGTAGGGCACATGCCTGGGTTGCAGGCCATGTCCCCAGTAGGGGGCGCATAAGAGGCAACCACACTTTGATGTTTCTCCCTTTCTTTCTCCCTCCCTTCCCCTCTTTCTAAAAATAAATAAATAAAATCTTAAAAAAAAAAAAAAGAAACCAACAATGATAAAACTCAACAGAAGCTTAGTGTATGGGACCCCTAAAAATAGAAACTACTACCTCTATTGATTTTTCCAAATAAACAAGTACCCACACTAATAACTGACTATACTTTCATTTATCTTACAAAAAGAGAACCAAAGATAAATAAAAGCAAGTGCAAACTGACCAAATTCCATACCAATAATCTCTCCCCAAACCTTTAAATATTAAAGGATATGAAAAGATATTCACTAGAACATGGCAATCGTGGCTGCCTATGGGCAAGAAGTATTTACTTTTCACTGTGTTCTTCTGGGGAAAGGAGTGTATTTTAATCCATGAAATAAAAAATAAGGAAATGAAAGAAAGTAGGCAAGAGAGAAACGAGAGCACGTGGATCACAACAGAGGAACAACAGGTCCTCTATTCACAGGGACAAGAACCTTAAAAATGTTTCTTAAATACAATTAACATGGTTTTTATAACAGTAGAAGGCTGGAGCAATAACATCCGGTCAGCTACTTGGGGACAACACTACTTTCTCAATCTGGCATCCAGGACCCACTGCTACACTTTAGAAACCAGTGAAAGGTCCATTAATAATAAATGAACCACTCTGTAGCCTGGCAAATTATGTAACTTCTTACGAATTTCAGCTTCCTCATTTATAAAACTTGGAACTGTGTCAAGATTATAGTTATATAAACTGCTTGCCTTGCATCATTCATCTTTATAGCCTCAGAAGCAAGCGGCACATAACAGACATTCAATCAGTATTTGTTAGTCTATGAGGCTTGTTAGCATTCCCCACCCACATCATGCAAAATTAAAGAATACAGAAACAATAAGGCCTTGAATTTAAAGATTACCAACTATAAATATTAGATATAAATCCTAGGAGAGAAACATTCCCTTTATTTTACTTATTTTTTACTTTTTAATTGAATTTATTGGTTGATATTAGTTAATAAAATTATATAGGTTTCAGGTGTACAATTCTATAAAACATCATCTGTATATTGTACTGTGTTCACCACCGAAGTCAAGTCTCCTTCCATCATCATTTATCTCCCCACACCCTCTTCTACCCCCTCACCTCCTTTCCCTCTGGTAATCACCATACTGTTGTCTGTGTGTATGAGTTTATTTTTTTAATTAATCCCTTCACCTTTTTCACCCATCCCGCAACCACCCTCCCCTCTCACAGCTGTCTGTTCTCTGTCTATACATCTGCTTCTATTTTGTTTGTTAATTTATTTTGTTCACTAGATTCCACATATAAGTTAAATCATATGGTACTCTATCTTTCTCTGACTGGCTTATTTCACTTGGCATAATGCTCTCCAGGTCCACTCATGCTGTCACAAAAGGTAAGAATATACTAGAAGGAATAAACAGTAGAGTGGATGAAGCAAAGGATCGAAATCAGCAATTTGGAAGACAAGGTAGCAGAAAATACCCAGAGAAGAAAAAAGAAAAAAGAATTTTAAAAAATGAGGATAGGCCTGGCTGGTATAGCTCAGTGGATTAAGCCTGGGCTGCGAACCAAAGGGCAGCTGGTTTGATTCCCAGTCAGGGCACATGCCTGGGTTACAGGCTAGGTCCCCAATATGGGGCGCATGTGAGGCAACCATACATTGATATTTCTCTCCCTTTCTTTCTCCTTCTCTTCCCCTCTCTCTAAAAATGAATAAATAAAGTATTTTTTTTTAAAATGAGGACAGATTAAGGAACCTTTAGGACAACATGAAGCATAACAACATCCACATCACCAGGATACCAGAAGGAAGACAAAGCAAGCATGGGATCAAGAACCTATTTGAGGGAGTAATGACTGAAAACTTCCCTAGTTGGTAAAAGAAAAAGACACACAGTTCAGGAAATGCACAAAGTCCCAATATCAATATGAAAAAAAGAGGCCCACATCAGGACACATCATAGCTAAAATGGCAAAGATTAAAAACAAAAACAGAATCTAAAAAGCAGCAAGAGAAAGAGCATTACCCACAAGGGAGCTCTCATAAGACTATCAGCTGATTTCTTAACAGAATCATTTCAGGTCAAAAGAGACTGGCATGAAATATTCAAAGTGATGAAAAGCAAGACTACTTTACCCAGCAAGACTATCACTTAAAATTGTAGGAGAAACAAAGAGCTTCCAAAACAAGAAAAAGTTAAGGAGTTTGTTACTGCCAAACCAGTATTATAAAAAATGTTAAAGGAGAAGAAAAGGGAAGAGGAAGAGGAGGAGTAGAAGGAAAAAGCAGAGGAACATAGTTATAAAAAATAAAGTGGGAATAAATATGTACATATCAATAATCGCTTTAAATGTGAATGGCTTAAATGCTCTAATTCAGAAGACACGGTAGCAGAATGACCCACGCACGACCCATAAATATAATGTCTATAAAAGACCCACCTCAGAGCAAGATACACACAGACTAAAACTAAAGGGGTGGGAAAAGATATTTCATGCAAATGGAAATTTTAAAAAAAGCTATGGTAGCAATACTTGTATCAGACAAATTAGACTTCAAAACAAAGGCCATAACAAGAAACACATAAGGACATTATATAACGCTATAGGGATCAATCCAACAAGAGGATATAACCCTTGTAAATATTTACGTACCCAACATAGGAGCACCTAAATATGCACGGTAAAAGCTGATGGTCATAAATGGAGAGACTGACAGCCACATAGTCATAATTAGATTTTAACACCCTTTGACATCAATGGATAGATCTTCCAGATAAAAAATCAACAAAGAAACAGTGGCCTTAAATGGCACACTAGATCAGATGGATTTAGTTAATATCTTCAGAGCATTTCACCACAAAGCAGCAGAATATACATACTTTTCAAGTGCACAGGGAACATTTTCTAGTATAAATCACATGTTAAGACACAAAACAAGTCTCAAAGTTAAGACTGTAATTATATCAACCATCTTCTCTGACCATAATGGTATGAAACTGTAAGTCAATTATAAGAAAAAACTGAAAAACACACAAAGACATAGACATGTTGCTAAATAACATGTTGCTAAACAATGAATGGGTTAACAATGAGATCAAGGAAGACATCAAAAAATACCTTGAAACTAATGAAAATGAGAACACAACAACCCAAAATCTGTGGGAACAGAGAAAGCAGTCCTAAAAGGGAAATTCATAGCATTACAGGCCTATGTCAAGAAATGGGGGAAAAAAACCTCAAATAAACAATATAACTTTTTTTTTTAATCCTCACCTGAGGATTTGAAAGAGAGAAAGAGAAACATCAATGTGAGGGAGAAATATTTATCAGTTGCTTCCTATACACGGCCTGACCAGGGATCAAACCCACAACCTAGGTACATGCCCTGACCTGGAATCAAACCTGCAACCTTTCGGTGTACAGGACAATGCTCCAACAAACTGTTTTTTTGAAAAGAAAATTCCCTTTAGAAACACAGACTTGCTGAAGTTCTAAAATCTTAGACATATAAAAAGAGAAAACCATGCAATCAGGTCTATGCTAAAGAAATTAAAGAAAAACAGACAAAATATTCTCTCACAAATATGTTGGTTTAATAGCTAAATGATATTACCAACTAAATATGTTAATAATGGCCTTTGGCTCTTTGGAAACAGAAAAATTATAAAGATTAAAAAATAAATTCTTGCCCTGGCTGGCGTAGCTCAATGGATTGAGCTCGGGCTGCGAACCAAAGTGTCGCAGGTTTGATTCCCAGTCAGGGTACATGCCTGGGTTGCAGGCCATGCCCCCCAGCAACCGCACATTGGTGTGTGTGTGTGTGTGTGTGTGTGTGTCTCTCTCTCTCCCCCACCTCTCTCTCTCCCTTCCCTCTCTAAAAAAAATTAATAAATAAATAAAATCTTTAAAAATAATAAATAAATTCTTTATTGGACTATTCTAGACTTGGTCATAGTAAAATTGCTTCCTGGAACTGCAATAGAGGTGAGCTAGAAGAATAAACTTAAAACTTAAAAAGGTTACCCCAAAAAGTGGCATCATATGAAGATTGAGAAAGGAAAATTAGAATATTGCAGATATTTTAAGAATGCACTTACATTGCCTGGAACATAATTTTTAAAAAATCTTTAAAAAAGCATAGTTATGAGGAAGATTGAAAGACCAAAGAGAAAAAAATAAACAAAAAGGCTAAGGGACACGGTACGTGCTTTCACTTTACAGCACAAGACATGTTTACTAAATTTTAAATAAAAACAGAAGGAGGCAAAAATATTACCACATAAATTAGGCCTTAAAAGTTCTGTTATAAATTTTTTTTAAATATTTAATGCCAGACTGGTAGACATGTAAGTTTTTCCTTTTTTAAAAATTTATTTATTTTTAGAGAGGGAAGGGAGGGAGAAAGAGAGAGAGAGAAACATCAACAAGAAACAAGAGAGAGAGAGAAACATGTGTGGTTGCTGGGGGCCGTGGCCTGCAACCCAGGCATGTGCCCTGACTGGGAATTGAATCTGCGATGCTTTGGTTCGCAGCCCGCACTCAATCCACTGAGCTACGCCAGCCAGGGCTAAAATTTTTAACTAATCACTACCTGGCATCCTCTCCTTGAATGGGAGTAGGGAATTTTTAAAAAGCAAATGAAAGGGTGAAAAGAAAGAGAAAAAGAGACTCGGTATATATTTTTAAATACTCTTTTGATTATAATACATGAATATACATTACAAATAAAGACAAAAATATAGCAATTTTATTATCATGACAAAGTCATTCTTAACATTTTATTATAGTTTCTCCTGAACGTCTTTCCTATGCATCTAGTTTTCAGGTATAAACTTACCAAATATTGAACTGGTGATTCACCTGTTTAATATTAGCAGTTTCAATATGTTTATAATTACGTGTCACAAAATAAAGAAACAAGTAGAGAAAGATTCTAAATTTTTCTTTTACTGATTCTAGAGAGAAGGGATGGGAAGCAGAAAGAGAGCGAGAGAAGCATTAATGTGAGAGAGAAGCACCGATCAGCTGCCTCTTGCATACGCCCGGACTGGGGACAGAACCCACAACCCAAGCATGTGCACTAACCCAGAATCAAACCAGTGACCTTTCCGTTTGCAGGATGACACCCTAACCAACTGAGCCACACTGGCCAAGGCGAAAAACATTCTATAAAATACAGCCTTTTGAAGCAAAACACGTGCTTTTCATTGGAGACTATTCAAGGTTCTTTCATACCAGTCACTTACTCAATATAATTTCATACAACTGAAACTCCTACTTTCATGTTTATGCGAATTAAGCTCTTAATTATACACTAATATGTTCCAATCATTTCACGACTTTTCTATCCACATGACTACCAATCTTGAAGGCAGAATAATAGACTATGCAAGGTAACTGAGTAACATTCTTATATGGAACACTTTACCATGGACTAAGCATCAAGCAGTATAGAGTCTGAAAATGAACTGGCCATCCAAAGTAACTCAAATTACTCACCAACTTAAACATATAGTTCTATTTATTTAATCCCAACCTTTAAGTCATGGGCATAATTAACATCAAAATTTCCAACTCTATTGTGCTCATGAACTTGTTTTTCTGACATCACTTCAGTGTTTCTTGGCTATAAGAAAATAACTTTAAATGCACTAAATATACAAGAACAAAAGAAAAATAAACCCAAAATAACCATTCTCTTTATAACTCCATGGGACAATGCGTCACTTAGAAGGTCCTTAGAGTAAATGGAGTTAGTCTAGTGCCAACACATAAGTCCAAATAAAGTCTATTTCAATATATGTGTAACACTCCAGACAGGCTTAACTTCCAAGATCCTCTCCAAATGACTAAGTGATATGGTCATCTCAGTGATACTTCAAGTGCGCATTTTTATGCTTTTTTATGCTCATGTGGATTTCCACTTTGTACCTCCAAGGACAACATGTAACAGTCAGTGATTTCTGAGGTACTTAAATTGAGGATAACAGGTTTGCTAAGTCATCTACCTCCCAATGAAGTTACCAAAGAAATAAAAAGCATGCCATGATGGAAAGGTATCACCGAAAACCCCTCCTACTCCTCTGAAGCAGTGATTCCTTTCTGCTTACATCTCTGGTCACTTTCTCACCATCTAGTTATGCAGCATCCTTTCAATACTCAAAAACTCCATATAAATCTTTATAAAACTGAAGCAATCAAGCTGTCTCAGCAAATATACTGAAATTTCTCTCCTATTTATATAGAGTGTGACTTAGTCTGTGACACTGAGGCCTAAAACAAAAATCCCAAACATATTATCAAGGAAAAACTTATTATAAAAATCAACTCTAGACTATCCATACTAGGAAGAGAATGACCAGGCATACTCTAAAAATAATTTAGAAATAATTTTTAAGTGTCTATTTTTGGTAGCAGATTCACTTTTCTAATATGTTTCCACTTAAGTCAATATTCTTTGGCACACAGCAGCTTTGGTGAGAGAAAGGAGGAGGCTGAGCGAATACAAAACACAAGGGGAAGGCAGGCTAGGATAAAACACTGACTGCTCGTGACTGCGTAAGAACTCATAGCAACAGCAACACGTAGCTAAGCAAACAGTGCCTACCTTTTATCTACGCACTTTTAGTTGCCAATTCCTAAATATTCCAAAATAATTTTAAAAAACAAAAAAGAAAATTAGTATTTAAGTACCACTAACCACTTTCAAACTCTGAAGTTGAAGGGTGTAATCGACTCATTGGTTTAAAGCAGTGTTTAAGAAGGTATCATGGACTCCCATGAAAATCAGATGAAAGAAGCAATAATCCATTTTACATATAACCTGGTTGGGGAGTAAGAGGTGATAATGGCCCCCAAAATACATCCTTGAATCATCCCAGAAAGGTTAAAAACAAAGAAGTACAGTGATATGCAAACTGGATATATACAATGGTTAAACTAGTAGCAACCAAACAAGGCTTATTCTACCATACTGCTTTCAATCTTTATGAAGTCCTTATTGTCTTACCATATTGTCCCAAATTTTTCCAGTGCCTCCACAAGGTCTGCTTCTACCACAGATTCACAGAGTCCTCGAACATGGACAACGGGTGAAACAGAAACTTTATGATGACTTCCACCTGTCTCCTAGAAAGAGAAAACAATTTGTAATTAAAAACTTTAAAATTCCAAATTGCATCGTTTAGTATATTCAACTCTGCTATAAAAAGCAAGCAAACAAATAAACAACAACAAAAAATGCAATCCACAAGTTAGTAAATAGGACCGAAGAGTAAAATCAACAATTAAATGCTTGGCATGAAAATTTTGATTTCTTAAAAGGGAGCATTCTTAAGACTCCCTGTCAAGATGAAGGCATAGGTAAACACGGCTCACCTCCTCACACAACCACAGCAAAATTTACAACTAAGCTAGAAAACAACTATCACCCAGAATCATCAGAAAATCAAGCTATATGGAAGTCTGACAACCAAGGAATTACAGAAGTCAAATCCACACAGAAAGACAGGAGAGGCAGTGACATGCAGACACAGAACAGGGGGTCCCATACCCACGTGTAGTGGGTAAAAATCTACAGGGATCCCAGCCCCACACCAGACCACCCAGCCCAGGGTTCCAGTGCCAGGAAGAGAAGTCCCTGTATCTTCTGGCTGAGAAAACCAGTGGGGTTTGAGGCAGCAGAAGAAACCGCAGGATTCTTGGGTGTCTCTTCTTAAAGGGCCCACAATGGACTTAGGACTTATACAAACTCACTCCCTCTGGGCTCCAGCACCAGGGGCAGCAGCTGGAAGGGCACCAGGGGCACGCAAGGAGAAACTGAAGTGTCTGGCATCAAGGTGAATGCTAGGGGAGAGCTTCCTCTCAGACAAAACTCCAGAGGCCAGGCAGAGGCCATAGTCTCCTTTGTGAGCCCTCATCCACAAAGAGCCGGAGAGTGATGACACCATATCTGAGAATCCATCAACTCGTTCACAGGGGTTGCCCCGTCCTGGCAATTACCTAAGGCTCCAACCCATCCAACTTACAGGTGCACTTTTCTATGATAGGTCATGCTACTAAGACAGGGAGTCAAAGCAGCTCTACCTAATACATAGACACAAACACAGGGAGGCTGCCAAATTGAGGAGACAAAGAAATATGGCCCAAATGAAAGAAGAGAACAAAACCCCAGTAAAAGAACTAAACAAAATGGAGATAAGTGACCTATCAGATACAGAGTTCAAAACACTGGTTATTAGGATGCTCATGGAACTCAACGGGTACTTCAACAGCATAAAAAAGACCCAGGCAGAAACAAAGGTTACACAAAGTAAAATAAAGAAATATTTACAGGAAATCAGACTTCCGGCCAAGATGGAGGTATAGATAGATACACTTTGCTTCCACATACAACCAAATGTGGGACAACAACAAATTTAAAAACAAAAAACAATGAGAACTGCCAGAAAATAGAACTGTATGGAAGTCCAACAACCAAGGAATTAAAGAAGAAACGTTAACCCAGACTGGTAGAAGGGGTAGAGATGGGCAGCCAGGGAAAAGAGGACTAGCGGTGAGGCTGCAACTGGAGGCAGGCAAAGCAGTGGCTGGTGGAGCAGGCGGTCCCACATTTGCATGTGGATAAGCCAGGAGGAACAACTGGGGAGCAAGACAGACCCCGCAACCCAGGGTTCCAGTATGGGAAACTGAAGCCTCAAAACCTTTGGCTATAAAAACCTATGTGGGTTGCGTGGCAGGAGAAACTCCCAGCCTCACAGGAGAGTTTGTTGGAGAGACCCACAGAATCCTAAAATGTACACAAACTCACCCCCCCCGCCCAGGAATCAACACCAGAAGGGCCAATTTGTTTGTGGGTGGTGAGAAAAGTGACTGAAAGCCTGCCAAGAACCAAGGAAGTGGCACTGTTCCCTCTCTGACTCCTCCCCCACACACAGCACCACAATACAGCAAAGGGAGTTGCCCTGCCCTGGCAAATACCCAAGGCCCTGCCCCTTACAGTGTAACAGGTACACCAAGACAAGAAATATGGCCCAAATGAAAGAACAGATCAAAGCTCCAAAACAGAACTAAGTGATGAAGAGATAGCTAACCTATCAGATGCAGAGTTCAAAACACTGGTAATCAGGATGCTCACAGAAATGGTTGAGTATGGCTGCAAAACAGAAGAAAAAGTGAAGACTATGCAAAGTGAAATACAGAAAACATACAGAGAACCGACAGTGAAGGGAAGGAAACCTGGATTCAAACCTACAATTTGGAACAGAAGGAAGAAAGAAACATTTAACTTGAACAGAATAAAGAAACAAGAATTAAAAAAAATGAGGAGAGGTTTCAGAACCTCTGAGACAACTTGAAACGTTCCAACATCCTAATCACAGGGATGCCAGAAGAAGAAGAGGAAGAGCAAGAAATTGAAAACTTACTTGAAAACATAATGAAAGAAAACTTCCCTAATTTGGTGAAGGAACTACACAAACAAGTCCAGGGAACACAGTCCCAAATAAGTTGGAGCCAAAGAGGACCACATCAAGACACATCGTAATTAAAATGCCAAAGGTGAAAGATAAAAGAGAAAATCTTAAAAGCAGCAAAAGAAAAAAGAAAAGCAAACAGTTACCTACAAAGGAGTTCCCGTAAGACTGTCAGCTGATTTGTCAAAAGAAACTTTGCAGGCTAGAAGGGACAGGCAAGAAGTGTTGAAAGTGATGAAAAGCAAGGACTTACAACCTAGGTTACTCTTTCCAGCAAAGCTCTAGAATTGAAGGGCAGATAAAGTGCTTTCCAGACAAGGTAAAGCTTAAAGGAGTTCATATGAAATGTTAAAGGGACTTAAGAAAAAGAAAATCAAAACTATGAACACTAAAATGGCAATAAACTCACAACCATCAACAACTGAATCTAAAAAACAAACTAAGCAAACAAGATCAACAGAAACGGAACCATAAATATGGAAATCATTTGGAGGGTTATCAGCTGGGAGGGGGAAGGGGGAAAATAGGGGAAAAGGTGCAGGGGTTAAGAAGTACAGATTGGTAGTTATAGAATAGACGGGAAATGTTAACAGTATAGGAGATGGAGCAACTAAAGAACTTACATGCATGACCCATGGGCATGAACTTAGAGGGGAGATTGCTGGAGGGAATTGAGGGTAACGGGTGGAGCAGCAAAGGGGGAAAAACTGCAATTGTAACAGCATAAAGTAATATAAATATATTTATATTATATATCTACATATTTATAAAAATATATTTATAAAAATAAAAGGGTGTATTCTTTTACAGTAAGAAGTAAAAATAAGTTATTTAGTAACTTATTTCAACTTCAAGAAAAATCTCAGGAAAAACATCAGCAGATAAAGCATGCTAAGATTGGAAATACAGTTTATACTCATAATTTCATAGTTTTACCTCCATAAAATCAAAATCTCAAGTAGTCTAAATGAACAAAAAGTTTGAACTTAAAACTTTTTAAATATAAAGATTATATACTTTATTTTTTCTGTAATAGATAGTAAATTTATATCAACTTTTGTCCTGTTTAATCAATTACCTCAGCCCACCATAACTTGAAATCCAACTTAAATTTATACGAGGGACTATGTAGGAGAATACTTTGAAAATTAAAATAGCTCTCTAATTTACTTATCAAGCTCCATTCAGACAAAGATTTACATTTACAGCTCGCTGCTGGACACCTCTCTTGCATCACTTTAAAATAACTTCAGATAGATAGACAGACAGACAGACAGACAGACAGATGTATGTATATCTCCCAAAAATCTATTAAGTGAAAGCGTTTGGGGGGGTATCCTACAGACTAATCTAAAACTTTAGAATTAAAACTTAAGAACCATTTTAAGAAAATTAAACCCCTTTATGGCTATTCTAAAAGACTCACCAATTTTTTTTCCCATCATAAAGACTGTTAGAAAAATGTAATAAACTCTTATGTTAGAATTTAAAGAAAAGAACTGATTTGAATATAAAAAGTAACCATAGGACTATGCTACATGATTGTCATAGCCAACAAATAATTTCAGTGATCTGCAAATACTAATTTAACCCTTGGAATTTCATTTGAATTGCTTAGGTTTAGTTTCTTCTATGTTTACATGTCACTAAATTTGAAATAAGTCATTCTGATTGTTCCCTATGTAAACCAGCATTCGCTTAGCAACCTTAACAAATGAGACTGTGCCTATGTGAAACTCAACAACCAAATGTGCATTATCACCACTAAGCTCTTAAATATTGCTGGACAACAACAATGCAGGAAGAGAGCTAAGTAACACCTTAAAACCTGAATTTAAACAAACATTTAAAGTATAAATAACAAGTTTTACTCTAAAAATATATTTAGAACTGCAAGATATAAGACAGTTATCTCCACTAATCCTTAGAAATTAGCTGGCAAAAGTAAAAGTACAAGAGAAAACTATATTGGCCTGGACTCTTCAAAAAGTTATTATCAAAAAACAGTGGAAGATTTCAGGTCGAAACTAAAGACAAACAACAACCAAATGCAATACATGAGCCTTAATTTTATAACAGATAGAAACCTGCTATAAAAGACATCTTAGGGCCCTGACTGGTGTGGCTCAGAGGACTGAGCACCGAACTGTGAACCAAAGGGTCACTCACTGGCTAGAGTCCCAGTCAGAGCACATGCCTGGATTGTGGGCCAGGTCCCTAGTCAGAGGGTATTCAAAGAGGCGACCACACAGTGATGCTTCTCTCTCTCTCTTTCTCCCTCCCTTGCCCTCTCTAAAAATAAATAAAATCTTCAAAATAAACAAACAAACAAACAAAAAAAAAACGATCTCTTAGGGACAAATTGGAGAATTTAAGTAGGCAGGGTACTAGATTATATAATGGAATTATTGTCTTAGGTAGCATTATAATAGTAATGGTATAGGAAAAAATATCTCTAAATCCTAGGAATAGCTGGGATATTTAAGGATAATTGTGATGTCTGTAAGTTACTTTCAAATAGTTTAGGGGCAAAAAAGTATGTATATAAATAGATATAGACATTTAGAGATAAAAATCCCCAAACTGTTAAATCCCCAAAATTGTTAAAAACTGATATGTAATTGAACATGTTACATAATAAAAAATTGGGGAAAT